AAAAAAAAAAAAAAAAAAAATGGAGCTTCAGCTATACTTGAGACTTTGTGAAAAGGCAGAGTCCACAATCCACAACTCCAAGGACTCACCTTGGATCAAGTACTCAGTCCCTGTTCTGAAGAGGTCACCTTTCCAGCCTTTTTGAGATGAAATCACCCTGTCTACACTGCTATTCTCATTTTTATTTTAAATAATTGTCTCTTAAGTTTTGCAATACACATCTAACCTTTAGTTTTTTCCCAAACTGCTTTCCAAACCACAGGTTGGGCAACCAGTTTAGTAAGTTATACCAACCTTTTCCTTGTTCTTTTTTTTTTCTTTTTAATGAGACAGATAAAAAGGGGAGGGAAGGAACAGGAATGCATCCCACATGCAAGATTATGCACTGTTCCTATAAACTGTTCCAGAATGTTTGAGAATCACTGCTCTATGGAAACCCACTGACCTCAGTAATATGCTCATAAATGTTCATAACTAACTTTTTTTGAAGCTATCATTTCAGCATCTGCCAATTTCCGCGGTGTAAATATTCCCACGTGGCCAATCCCAGATGCCACGTCAAGAAGAGGTGTGCACAGCAGGCGCTGGTGAGCTGGTGTAAGAGCTCACTACCTGCCCTCATCATTACTAGAACCCAAAGTCTCTTTTTGGTTGCAACCTTCAGATTCCCCTGCGGTGCTGGCCTTCAACAGTGGGCTTCTCGTATGGCCACCCTGCCCCTGGTGTTCGCCTTCTGCTTTTCTGTGGGGCCTTTTCTTTCCCCTGCCTTTCTGGGCACTTCCCATAGTGGCGAACTTTAAGAATTCATCTAGTGGCCAGGTGCAATGACTCATGCCTATCATCCCAGTGTTCTGGGAGGCTGAGGCAGGTGGATCCCTTGAGCCCAAGAGTTTAAGACCAGCCTGAGCAAAAGTGAGATCCCATCTCTACTAAAAAACAGAAAAATTAGCTGGACAAGCTGGTGGGTGCCTGTAGTCCCAGATTCTCTGGAGGCTGAGGCAGGAGGATCCCTTGAACCCAGGAGTTTGAGGTTGCTGTGAGCTACAATGATGCCACTGCACTCTACTGAGGGTAACAAAAGAACAAAGAGAAGAATTCATGTATTCCTCCATCTCAGAGACCACACCTACCTGTAAGACCCTGATGTCTCTACACATCTCTGAATGTCCCATCTTCCCCTCAGGCCTTCTCTCCAGTCGTCTGGAGCT